GGGACCAAATGAGGTCGGATTTTGATAAATTTGGTATGGTTAGACTCGTGAGTGAATGAGTTTTCTAGTTTTGTGATTTTTGTCAGATTTCGAGACGTGAGCCCAGGGGCCAGATTTGAGTGAATTTCAGGATTTGGCCTATAATTGGGTATTTTTCTTGTGGAATTGGTTCCCTTAGCCTATATTGATCGTATTGTATTGCTTGTGGCTAGATTCGGGACATTTGGAGGCCGATTTGAGAGGCAAAGGCATCTCGAAGTAGTATTTTGGTTTGGTTTGAGGTAATTAATGCTTTTAAACTTGGTTTTCAGGGTTCGAAATCCCGTACTACGTGTTATGTGGTTAGTACTGAGGTGATGCACATGCCAAGTGACGGGTGTGCAGGCGTGCACCGTGAGAATCGTGACCTGGTTCATTTCATGGCACCATTTAATGACTCTTTCTAGTTGATATCCGTATTTTCATCATGTGATAAAGTAATTGAGCTGTAAATCATGTTAGATATCATGTTTGGGCTTCATGCCGATACTGTTAGGACCCCTAGTGGTCGTTTCTTGTTGTCATTCACTGATATCACTATTTTTTTGTACTCAGTCATATTCATGCATTTCATATCATATCTCAGTCTCAATTGTTATTAGTGGCATAGCATATCATTGTTTCCGGGCTAGTTTCTATGACATTGTGAGCCCGTGGGTAAGACTGGAGAGTGATGACTGAGTGAAGCCGAGAGCCTAGTTTTGAGTGACAGTCCTGGGTTGGGTTGCACGCTGCAGTAGTTATATTGATTATGATAGCGCTTGGTCCGTAGGAGCCCCTCTGGAGTCTGCACACCCACATTGGGCGCGGATGATATTATTGAGGGATGGATTTCCTTGAACATAGATTTGTATGAAGTATTGATATTTGGATATAGATTTCTCCACAGGGTTGGATTACCCTTGTTCCTCGGTATCGGGTGACTTATAGTTAGTGATGAGTATGTTCTGGGATGGATTTCCCTAGGCCGGATGGCCATATACAGTACCGAGTGGTTAAGAATTTATATATATATATGGAGATGGATTTCTCTTCAAGGTTGGATTGCCCTTTTTCCTCGGTATTGAGTGACTCACAGTAAGCTTTGTATATATTCCAGGATGGATTTTCCTGGGCCGGATAGCCATATTCAATACCGAGTGGTTGAACACTTGAGAGTGGGAGTACACTGTGCATTTCATGTAGTCGTGCATTGGCATGTAAAGGCAGTTGAGTTGTACATTTTAAAATGTTCAGATCTGCATTTACCTTATTACTTTGAGTTATCTATTTAACTGAAAGCATGCGTACGTTTACGTTGTTTCTATTATATCTGTTGAGGTTGAGTTCGTCACTACCATTCAGTCCATAGTTTGGACTCGTTACTTACTGAGTTGGTGTACTCACGTTAACCCATGCACCTTGTGTATAGATCCAGATATCTCTGGGCACGGTACCGGCTATTGATATTTTCTGTTGCTAATCATTGGAGTTAGTAAGGTAGCTGTCTGGCGACCACAACCCTACTTTCTTCTTCTCTATCTTCCCCGTAGAAGTATTTTAGATTTTTCCCAGACTATGTAGTCTTGTTATTACCAGAACAGTACGATACAATCAATACGGGCTAAAGCAATCAATTCCACAAGAAAATACAAAGTTATTAATCAAGGCCAAAAAGTGACTCAGAGCCGGCCCCCGGCCCCAGGTCTCGAAATCCGACGAAAGTCACAAAACCCGAAATTTCACTCAACCACGAGTTCAACCATACCAAATTTATCCAAATCTGACACTAAATCATCACCCAAATTCCTAAATCAAACTCTCCAAATCCCTAGCCTCAAATCCCCAAATTTTACCTCAAAACCACATAATCTAGGCGGGAAATTCAATGGGGAAACAAGATTATTAATCAAAAATGATCACAAGGGATTTACCTCAAGAATCCCCTCAAAAATCCTCTCAAGAATCGCCAAAATCCGAGCTCAAAATGTTAAAATGAAGCCAAAATCAGAACCCTTGTATTTATATATTCTGCCCAGCACTTCCGCTTTTGCGGAAACTTAGCCGCTTCTGCGACATCGCATAAGCAACCACTCAATCACATATGCGGCTCCTTCTACTCCTGCGACCCATCAATTTGCTCCTTCGGACTCGCTTCTGCGAGCATCAAGTCCACTTCTGTGGAACCTAGGTCTCCTGTCTATTTCCGCTTCTGCACTCGCCTCGCCGCATCTGCGGCCGGGATATCCTTCGCACCTGCGACCACCTAATCACACCTCTCCAAACTTCACAGCTGCTCAAACCAGCCCGCACCTGCGATCAAAGCTCCGCAGGTGCGGTTACACCAGTAGAGTTCCAGCTTCAGTAGTCTTTCAACTTCAATCCTTGATCCGAAAAATCCCCCTCGGACCTCAACTAAACATACCAACAAGACTCAAAACAACATACGAATTTAATTGAGTTCTCAAATCACCTCAAACTACATCAAAAACACGAATCGCACATAGATTCAAGCCTAATGAACTTTGAACTTCCAATTTCTACAAATGACGCCGAAACCTATCAAATCATGTCCTATTGACCCCAAATTTTGCACACAAGTCACAAATGACACTACGGACCTAGTCCAACTTCCGGAACTCCATTTCGACCCTGATGTCAGAAAGTCCACTCCTGGTTAAACTTACTAAATTTTCAACTTTCGCCATTTCAAGCCTAATTCAACTACGGACCTCCAAATCACAATCCGGACACACTCCTAAGTCCAAAAGCACCCAACGGAGCTAACGGAACCATCAAAACTCCATTCCGGAGTCATTTACATATAAGTCAACATCCGGTCAACCTTTTCAACTTAAGCTTCCAACTTTGAGACTAAGTGTCCCAATTCATTCCGAAATCCCTTCGAACCCAAATCGACTAATCCGGCAAGTCACATAACAGCTATAAAGAACAAAATGAACAGTAAATGACAGAACAAGGCTATAAATCTTAAAACGATCGGTCAGGTGAATACACTTTTTCACAGTTTTCTGGTTGTGCCTGGCCATTATCCACAAAATATACTTTCTATTTTCCCTACAAAGCACATAGATATATAAGTATACTTTCTATTTTACATCCAAAGCCCATATAGTTTAAAAAGGAGAACAAAAGAGAAAAATGGTGCAAACTTCAAAGTGTTTGGCACACGACCAGGGGAACAATATCATTGCCTATTTGCAAACGAAAATAAAAATAGACTCTTTCGGTTAACAACCAGATATCCATCTTATAACTACTTGGAAAAAAAAATCACACATGCTATTCTTGGTGGAATTGTAATGATGGTGTCCCCCAAAACTATTAGGAAAAGAGAAAATGAAGATTTTAAAGAAAGACAAAGAAAAGTTTTGTAGAAGAAATCCAAAACCAAATGCGTTGGTAACTAAAGATTCTTTAATCACTCATTACAAAAAGTGTAAAAGTGACTCTATTCCATGAGAGATTACGGAGATAATTAAAGTGAAAAGCTTATATCAACGCGCGGATCGCTATTACCAGTTTTCTTAATTAAACTCTTCCTTGTCCCTTTTCCCACTAGAATACTCCAAAAGCTTCTTAACATTTTTCTTTTTTGAAATATTGAAAGTCTCTTTTCAAAAAGGTTAAAAGCACAGCCGTCTTCAAGTAGGGCTAGCCTTTGTGGTGAAAATTAGGTACAGTAACAGAATTTGATTACCTAAATTATTGCTAGAACGTATGATTTCTGGAAGATTGGCAATGATGAGTTTTGATACAATTAACCACAAATTAGTTTCTTATTACTTCATTACACATATGGTTATTGTGCATTTCAAAATAATGCACTGTAGATCAAAGTCTCTACAGTTCATATATAATTAGTCTTTTCAAAGTTTCAATAATTAGATTTCCTCTTCATATGTTCCATACTTAGTCTTTTCAAAGTTTCTAAAAGAGCCCATGATATTTCGGTTCAAAGGCTTTTCGTTAAATCCTGAATTCTTTCGTAGGTAGTAACTAGTAACATTTCTTCAGATAGAAGAGAAACAACTTGTGCTCTCCAAATATTTTGGCATGCCCAACTTTTCACGTACGTGATAAGCATTCACTTCTTGGCTTTTCCACCATTCTCTGATGTCAGCCAAATTGAAAAGTGGAATTTACTGTAAATCACTTTATAATTATCCCCATTTTTTTAGTAATGCTTACGATAAGTTGCTCAGCTTCAACAAGTTAAAGTCCAGTTAAGATGGAGAAATAAATCACCTAGCCACGTTCAAGTCATGATAATGGGGGAGACTTCCAAATCAATATGATACTTAGCAATAACGAGAAAAAGTTTACGACTAGGTAAAATTCATACTCTAGTCTGGCCTTACAAGCTAATAGCTTTGATCAACTGGATTTTAAAAATGACGAAACTCAGCCTAAAAGTACACTAATATACAGACTAGTCTGTTAGTATAGACTCGAAAAATAGCTACATAAAAATATTTTAAGAAGTTCAATATATATATAGTTTGAAGATGGTCTGCTCGGCGGAGGTACAGTGTTGGTTGCAAGTTCGATCAAATCGAATAACTTTTGTTCAAATATTATATTTGTATTAAGAAATTCATATATTATACAAATTATTAATTTAAAACTCATTAATTTAGAAGGATTATAATCTGGAACTAAGTTTTATCCTAACTCCGCCTCCGATGGTCTCACATCGATTTTCGCATCCGGTAAAGAATCTTCATGCGAAGATGAGCACATGCCTATGTGGACCGATTATATAAATCAAAAGTTCCGATCCTTTGACGTTTTGTTTACACATAACACAATCATAATTTTATCCGCGCAGATTTCTATTAATCATTATTTATATTACATCGCACAACCACAAGCGTTTTTTATTATATAGATTACACTGGTTTCACGAGAAACTTTATATTTCTTGAGGAATATATCCAGAAAAGAAAAAATTTAAAATATTGGAGAAGAATAACTAAAGTGGGAATATGAGAATACATTCCCCCCTTTTTCCATCTTAATTAATTAATTTTAATACAAAGATGGAAAATTAAAACACACTTCTAAATTCCGAGCCGAACAACCATAGCTCACTCTGGAAAAACAGCGAGCACTACGCGTTCAGGGAATTTCTGAATCTTCTTATCCACTGCAAATATCAACGGCTCAGATCAATCACTCTCCCCTACAGATTTACGACTCCTATTATTCATTATACTCTGTACATTAACCCTAACTTTATGTTCTCTAATTTTTATTTTTATTTTTATTTTTATTTTATTAGACAATACAGTAAATACGAAAAGTACTTATTATGGTTGGCTATGAAGAACAATAGCCAACTTCTCTTCCTGATGAAATTTGATTTGCTTAGCAATGAAATCCTCAATGGCTTTCTGAAACTCCTCATTGCTTAATTCATCCACTGGATACACCGTTTCCGACGGATCACCGGAATTATCGATTTTCCGGCACCTCTCCGTCTCCGATCTACGAAGCTTATTTCCGCTTATTTCCTTATCATAACTTCCTCTTTCAAACTTCTCCGATTTAGTTCTCCGTGGAACTTGTGAATAAAATGCCTTCTCCGTGACCCTTTTTGTTTCTTCGGGTTCAAAAATCGTCCGAGTATTCACTTCCAATACAGTCTGTTTGTCTTGGTAGATAATCTCTTCCGGTTCCGGCGGCGAAGACAAGTTACTGGAGGTGAAATTGCCGGAGCACTCTTCCTTTTCGACGAATGAGTCGTAGAGTTCAGCTTCGGCGCTAGCACAGAGAGTTGAGGAGGAATCTCCGAAGAGTCGGCCGGACTTGAAAAGGAGAGTGAGGACGATGACGTTGCAAATAAGGAAAATGAAGAGAGGGCTAAGTATTATGGAGATTAGTTGCCGGAAATACTCGCCGGAGATTTTGACAGCAAAAGGCAACCGAGTAGAACTCCATAAGAGCACAAAAACTCCAACACAGAATTCAACGATGCGAAAAAGCTTCGCAACGCTTTTGAAACTGTGGAATATCAGAATCACTCTGTTTTCCATTTTCTCACTACCAAAATCGAAAGCATCCATTTGAATACAAGCTTTTTTCAAAGATAGAAAAGTTCACTGATTTTGTTTTGGAAAAATTTGAAAGGAAAAATGAGTAGAGGGAGAGAAGAACGGTGGAAGTAAAAGGAAGCTAGGGGAATGACGCTTTGGCTTATTACTAAAGAGAAGAGAAAAAGACCGAGGAATTTGGATTTATTGCATCAATGGAACCGTTTCAAAAGAATAAGTCCTGCCATTTTTATAGAGTGCCAGTCAAGTGTGGAATAAACAATACTCCGATTTTGTAAACGCTATTTATGTTTTAATCAGACGTCCGATAATTTAAAACAGGATCTTCTTTTGTATTTGGTCTATAAATAATTGACAGATGTTATCCTTGTTAAGAAATTTTACTTTTGATTATTCACTCAGTAATTCATGTTTTCTTCCTTAACAGTTAATAATGATAAGAAATTAAGAATTAAAGTGCCTATATTAAGGTAGATTCAAATCTCCTTGAAGTCTATTTCCTTTTCTCTTATCCCCCATTCACTCTCAACTTTAATTGTACATGTTAGCTTCCACTTTTTATCAAATGTTGGAGAAGGTAATTCAGGAAATTTTTTCTCTGACGCATTTCTTTATATATTAAGTCGCGGATATATATCAAAATCAAACACTTAAATTGCTTATATATTGATTATCTTACACCAAATGTTGGGTGTAATTCCAACCTGGGATATTTAAGGCCTCATATAATCATTCAGATCTCAGACATTAAGTGCGTTTGTTTTTTAAGTCTGAATCTTAATTATACAGATCTTAATAATTAAATGTGTTTATTTCTTTTACTTCACAACCACTTAATGGGTCTGAATAGGTTTGTATGATTAAAATCTATAACATAGACTTAATTTCATTAAAATGCTATCACATATTCATTATTAACTGCCGCCACCACCTACCATTACCAACTACCACCATGCCACCACCACCATCGCTGCCACGCCACCATCATCCCCAATCATAGTCGTCATCATTATCGACCATCACCACCCACCATCCCCACCACTCTGACCACCATCATTCTCACCGACAATCAACACTCATCCACCTCAACTACCACTACTAACCACCCCATCACCATCAACAACCACAGCCGGCACTGCCCATCATTATAACTTACCAGCACCCACCCACCACCTTCCTCAATCACAACTACTACAACTACTCGTCATTATTAACTATCACCACCCACCACCACCATCCTCAATCATAATCGCCACCACTACTAATCACTAGTAGCTACTAGCATGAACCACCATCATCAACCAAAACTACTACCAACCACCGCCTCTAGTCGGCATTCACCTGTTAGCCACACCACCAACAACTATCATATTTTAAAAAATTATATATTTTATTGAAAGATTAGTTAGTATTTCATTTGAATTTTATGTTTATTAGTTTTCAAATAAAAATAAATTTTATTCATTCAGATGCTAAAAATCAAACAATCTTAATTATTTAGTATTCAGATCTTAATACACATTTTAATATATTCAGATGTGTATTCAGATTCAGATGTCTTAATCTTAATACACATCTTGATATTTAGATGTGTATTCAGATTCAGACGTCTTAATCTTTAAAAAAAATGAGGTCTAAGTGATTGATTTTGAAATATAAGAAGTGTATTCATAAATACATGAATTGGAGTGAAATAGTCAAATGGAAAATTGAAACGAAATTGGTATTTTTATATATTAACTAGTATAAAATTTTAAGAAGAAGGTAGAGATGAATTAATTACAAACTTATTATTATTATTATTTACTAGTAGTAATAAGTATTCCTGCTTCCTATCGAATTATTAGTGCGAATTTTGTTTTTAATATTTTGAAGATACTCGTTTCAGGAAATATGTTCTCCTTTTTTGATATTATTGTAAAAAACGAATCAAAATGTTTGAAAACTAATTAGACCAAGAAATAAACTTTTCGCAAGTATCAACCTACTGTCAATACAACAACGACTAAGTTATAAACCAGACTATCAACTGATATAGGCTATATAATTTTCACTTCCGTTAATTCCATCTTACTTTTAAATTTTAATTATTATGTCTGCATTAGTTCAAAAAAAGATTGTAGGACTGTTATAACAACTTTGTGACTATTTATTTAACTCTTTTTCGTCCGGTTAAATTGCAAAAAAAAAAAAAAAAAAAAAAAATCTGAATAGCTAAAATTTAAATCCCATGGCATCCGGTCGGGTTGCATAAGTTAAACAGGGTTGCATTATTACATTTATCTTGTACTTTGTTTTCCAATTTAAACACTACAATAATTTCTTACCGAACAACTGTTTGGGCAATTGTTTTCTAACTTCCATTTTCCTCGTTGGTCGTTATTCGTAGCTACTCTTAAGGACAAATAGACGATTATGGAAATGAGCAATAAAACTTTGCCAGCAACGAGCTTATTAATTTGACATGAGTTGAACTCTATGGGACGATGGCTGTGGCTCCATCAACTCTTGTTTCACCAATTCTTAGTATAATTGAATGCTTTTTTTTCTATTTTTATATGTTGGTACTTTTTACTCATAGAGGTTAGATGCTGAAGAAAGAAACCTAACCAGATTCTGATGAGAGCCTCGGGACGGTACAATATATCAGTCGTGCTTCTGATGAGTTCTGCCCAACAGTGACATTGAAATTAAAAGACAGGCCTTTATTTGTGACATGACCATGTTTGAATAACATTATCGCGCCCTTCTCTCTACTTAATTAAACAAATGCATTCAAATCTGTGACTGCCGATCAAGTCATTTCACTGAAAAATATATACTACAAATAAGAAGAAGAAGAAGAGACCACAGATGTGACAATTGTTAGGGATATAGTAGATATGCACTAAATCTAATATCATATTTATTGATTTGAACATATTTTTGTGAACATTATTTAATATAAAAATATATGGCATTTGATATTCTTTTATCATAGCTATTATTAATTGTTTGATTAATTTGATAAGGTCCTTGATTAAATTTTGAGACTTGACATTGCGATGAAGATCATGATAATGAGAGTAAAGTTTCTTATAATTTAATCTAAATTTGTTCTTGATCGTAGGATTATTAATTTGGACATTAGTAATCCGGTTAGATCAATATTTATGTGATCGTCTTTATGTGATAAAGATTAGTTGATCTCATTAACTAAATTACATAGATAGATGATGCATATAGAGATATGGTCATTGAACCGACTCATTGGATAATTCCTAATGGTTAGAATTACCATAAACTGTCAATAGGATATTCTCTTGAAGAATGTGATCTAAGAATTTCCTTCGACCTGAGATTGTCATAGTAATTGACAAGTTATTCATTGTGCTTTGATAACAGACACTTATGGCCCTAGGGCGATAGTTGAAAGAATATTGGGTATGATTAATTGCTTGTAGAATTAGTGATTGATCAAGATAGAATCTGTCAACTTTTGGTAATGAGTTTAAGCTTCATGTTGTCATAAACTATAAACGACCAAACTAAGACCTTGGCCAGGGCGATTGAATGAAAGAAGAAAAGAGTTTCTTAGATCATTTAATGGTCGATTATATTTGACATGAACACATAGTTTGTCGCCTATTAGGATTTGACAGTTGAACCATATCTTAGGGTGATCCAGAGCTATAAGGATAAAAGAAATTACTACATTATTCTTCTACTGGTTCTTGAGAGTAAATTGTATACTTCATTCTATCCGGTCGTTAAGGAGTGTTGCTAGACGCCACCCTTGATTAGTATATTGATGTAATTAATTTACTACCAGTTTAGTATTGAGTCTATGGGGTCGCACACTAACGAGTATTCTGATCTTTGCTAAAGGATTAATTAACTTATTATTTGATAATTAAATTAAAGAATTTAATTAGTCAAATAAATAAAGTTGTTAGTCCAAATGAAATATTATGATACTCTTTGTTAGCACAGAGATTATAATTAATATTGTGAACGAATTGAAGTTTTCTATTTGGAATAGAAAATTAAATTATATCTCTTGGCTGAAATATATATGTAATATATATAATTAATATTTATTTGTACAAAGTATGCATATAATATATTAATGAAAACTTATTTGGTAAATCCAATTATTGGACTGACACAAAAGTCCATGGAAGGACGAGTCGGCAACTTAAACCCATTAAGAATGGGAATTACATTTTTTATAGAAAAAAAATAATAAGGATTTTGCAATCCAATTTGGAATTGGAAGATCGGCAGTCAAGAAACCGAGAAAGGGATTTCGGTTCTTATAGAAAATTTCATCAAGTTTATTTTTGGAATAAACTTTTACTTTAAGCAAATTATTAGCTCAACCAAAAAGAAAAAGAATTTGTAGGTAATACCATATAAAGGGTGATGGAGAAAATTTGCTGCATTATTTTTTTCTTGAGAAGAAAACCACTTTATGAAAGTGAGAGTGCAGTACAAAGCCAAGAGAGAAAATACAATCACAAAAAAAGTTTTTCTTGTTCTTGTACCTTTGAGTTGGAATTTTTGAGAAAAATTTCAGCACAAGTTTTTCGTTCAATTTCTTCGCGGGTTTCATTGATCAAAGAGTTGATAGCAAGGATCGGTCTCAGTATGAATACGCATAGAGTCTTCGCACTACCGAAGAAATTTTGAAACGAGACTCGCTTCACCAGGTACGTCTTAGATCCGATCTTTGACATGTAAATAAATTTTAAACACGAAAAGATCTGTCTAGGATTGTTTTTTTCTTCCGCTGCATATTACAAACACCTATACTCAATCCTTCAACAATTATTTCAGAGGATTATTTATTGGATTTAAGTTACATGCAATCACAATTTTTTTTAACTGGATCAGTGTAGTTTAATATATTTATTGTAGGATAGATAGTATTTTTATCAGGTTATCAATTATTAATATTTGTTAGATTTACATCCTTATAAGAGAAATATTGTGTAAATATTTACGTCTTTAACGCATTAAACTTGTACTCTCGTTTCGGAAACAAATAAATATAAATTTATTGGTCATTAAGGACTCATGAGGTTTGACGGATGGGATGAATAATGGAATTTTTAACTTCTATAACAAAGGTTAACACCTTATTTATTTTAAATAAATATCATTTAAAAAAATTATATTCTATAGATACCTTTTAAGGTTTATAGCAAAATATTTTATTTTGGTTAGCTTCTAGCCCTAAGCCACTAAATACGCTATCAGTTACACTATTTTCTTTCTCTCTCTACTTTGATACATCTCATTTTCTTTCCCCATCTCATTCTC